TGTGGCCACTCATTCATTGTGAGCCTAGGCCGTTTCCTTCTTTGCCCAATCCTTCTTCTGCAATGAAAGTGTCTGGGCTGGCAGTGTTTTTTCAGTACTTTGAAAAATAATGGTGCTACCAGCTTATTGCAGATGATCATAAACCCACATGTGATACAAAGGTATAGAGAAATAACAGGAAGGGTCTTAGAGTAGGTATTTCAAGGACGAAGTGCCAGAATGGAGGCAGGACTAGTGGTAGGCTGCTGCAAAGGGAAAGCTGTTTTTTGCTGAAACCCAGAGTAGCTTTCAGGTTCACTTCGCAAGCAGCAACCAGCCAGCCTGAAGGAGCGTTGCTGCCAGGGAAAGGTCAGAGCAGACTTTCAAGGGCTGTCTTCTCCCCATGTGTCAGCTCCTGAGCTAGGGGGCTGGAGCACAAGCTGGCAGCAGGAGCTCTCTCCTACCACTTTCTTCTCCTTCCATGTCCAGAAGGGAGGCAAATATCTCTGCAACCCTGTTAGCCCTGCTGTGGGCAACAACTGTCCTCCTGGTGTTTTACAACACCAAGGGTTGGAGCAAAGGCTGGACCAACACCCCTTGTCTGGCAGCTGGATCTAAACTGAGCTTGCCTCAAAGGGCAAGCCTTGCAGGCTTTCCGCCGTGACTGTGCAAATCAACTGCTAGTGCCCGGAGGGAGCTTGTCTGAAAAGGGAGGGGGCACAGCTGAAACTTCAGCAGAGCTTGAGTTGGGATCTGGCTTCCCTGGTTAGCTCTACCTCTTCTCCAGCTCTACCTGAAAGCTCTCAGGCAGCTGGTTCCAGGGAGCCCCACGACAGCTCTCCTCCCTCGGTGGCAAAAAGAGCTCTGGGTGCTGCCCCTGGACATGGCGTAGTGCATGGGCAGGGTGTTGCTGACCTGGGGTGGTGGTTTAGGGCTCTTCACCACACATGTATGGCCAGCACTGAGACTGAGACCAGCTTACACTCCTGCCCGGTGCTGCTGTGATAAATCTGACCCGAGAGGTGTTGCAGGAGCGACACTGAGCCACGAACACCACAGCAGGCAAGGTTTGTCTGGTCTGCTAACCTGGCATGCTGTGAATGAGCTACCACATTTGCTTTTATTGTTGATGGCTGGGATGGGAAATGCAATTGAGACACCTTAATGAAAAGCTAACAAAGTTGAGTTTGGAGGGAGGGCTGGCATTCTGGTAGCCTTGCTTCTCATTAGGGAGTAATATGAATGGTTTGTCTGGGAATATTCCTACCACTGCGCCTGCAGCAGTGTGCTGACCATGGGCTGAGACCCTATGCAGATGCTGAGTAAGAGGGTCTCTGGAGGCCGAGCTGTTTATTTTGGATTGTACAAATAAAGAAATGTTGCTAATTTTATAGCAATTGCTTCTCGGAGATAGTTTGAGTCTCGGGCTCTGATTGTGTGTCTGTAACCAGCATGTTGTGGAAAAGCATTTTCTAACCCTCCTTAATTCCTGAGTCTAGTGTTAATAACACTCATTGTGAATTAGTTCAAGAAGGAAAGCTGGTGAAACTATGTGAATCTTGCTTGATGACCACACCACAAAATGCTGGAGAAAGTCCAGCACAGAGCTGGGGGTTGCTACTGCCGCTCAAAGAAAGCATCCTGGTACATTGCCAAGGCCAGTGGGTTTTTCTTCCAAAGCTCCAGCCTTTCCCCACCTATCTGAACTCTCCAGAAAAATTCCATGTTTCTTATCTCCTGCTGTCTGAAGTAAAAAAAACATTGTCTGCATGTGGAGAGCTGGATGGGAAGGCCAGAAAGAAGAATTACTCAGATGTAATCCCCTAGGCCTTTTCCTCCCGTTTAACATAATATAGAACTTGATTTAAAACAAAAAAGAAACAAAAAAAAATCCCAAAACACGCGCAAAATAAAAAAAAAACACAAAGAAAACAACAAACCAACAAACCAAAACCAACTTATTTTAGAATATTTGAAAGGGAAGAATATGGCAAATAACTTCAAGAAACTTATTAATCTAATTTAGTGGGTGTCTTTTTTCTGGCTGCGACTTCCAGCGTTCAAATCCTTTTAAGACTGTAGAGTTGGTCCAAAGTGTGATGGGACTCTTCTATTCTTTACGACCTAAACCAGTGACCCAAAGCATAATATTTTCTCTAGAACCATCTGTTTCCTCTTCTTGCCAAGGGGATTTCACAATGCCTGGTTGCTCTGAATAATTGTACATATGCAAGGATATGACTTGCCACAGGGAGAAAATTAACTGAACAAGGGCAGGTGGATGCTCTTGAGTTTTCTGTTGAAACTACTACCCTTTAGAAATAGAGGGTGAAGAACCATGCAGCTGGGTAATATTTTATGCCCACTTTTTTTTTTTTTAAGCCTACATATTAAAAAGAATTACCCAAAACTACACTTAGGAGCTATCTGAGATGAACAGAGTAGATACCAAGGCAGCCTGTGTTTTGACAGCCCCTTTATCAAATGTCTCTGAGTCTTGGTTTGGAGCAGTGTGAAACACAGGAGTACAGATGTTGGGTGACTAATTCATGCTTCGGCTAAACTTCAGTGACCATGAACACACATCTGTTTTTAACCTAGCTATCTGCCAAATGGCCTGCAACAAGGTACTCTTCCTTACCAACATCATTTTTTTCAATTTTTTGCTTCAGATCTGTAAGGGGTGGCTACAGCCTGCATTCTGGGAAGAAGAAGGTACCAAAGAACTGTGATCAGGGGAACAATGTTCAGGGCTTCTGACTCTAGAAGTAAGAGCTTTTTGTAGCTATAGCAGGATTTCCAGTGCAAATGACTCCTTTCCTTTAAATCTGTCTTCATACAGGAGACCTGCCTTTTCTTGTTCATCTTTTCTTATCACCCAGCTCTCTGACTTGATCACTTCTTGCTCCATGTATCTTTTGCTTTTCTTAATTAGAAGATTGGGGAAGGGAAGACAGACCAACAGTTCTTGGTGAGGAAATGCCTTCATATAAAACCCCCTTGATAAAGTCTCTATATTATTTTTCCAGCTCAATATTCCTCCTCCAGCATCCTTAAATAAAAGCAAATGGAGGAGAGGGCATTGATCCATCATTTCAATACCATTTTGTGGAGCAGATCCCATAACATGGGTGCAGGAATGGTACCCATTGCTTCCTCCAGCCAGTTTTTTACCTGTGTGCAGCTCTGTCCCTGTGTAGTATGCCCCTGCCCTAATGAAAAGGGGTGACTTCTGTGTTGTGGGGGATACGGAGGTGGCTGGTTCTGGTGGCCAGGTGCTTTTCTTCTAGGAGATGTTGGTGTGTCCCTGTTTTGGAGGGTAAATGCTTCACCACAGGAAAGCCTCTGTGGCTGTATTTAGCAGTCCGCAATACAACATGTGTAGCCTGCTGTGAGGCTGGAGAGCCAGCCTTGTTCCCAGCTGTGCTGTGAAACAAGCCCTCTTTCAGGAGGAAGAGGAAAGATGTGCTTAGGCAACTCCCTATGACTGGGTGCAAGTGACAGCTAGGGTGCTGTCCCTGGATGCAGCCTTTAGCAGGGACTTAAGCAGGGTTGGTCTGTGTTTCCCAGCGCACACAGCTGTGCAGCTTCCAGACCTGGGTGGTGCTTGCTGGAGACCAGGGAGATGGCAAATGGTAGGGTGAGACCTGCCAGGAGTTGCAGGGGCCGGACTTTAGGATCTCCTGCTTGTGTCCCATCTCTGATATGGTCCTGGGAATACCATCCTTCTCTTAAAAGTTTAAACTTTTCGCGGTGGAGCTCTTTTTCTTTTTCTTTTTTTTTTTCCTGTGGTTTTTTTATGAGCAAAACCATCCAGTGTTTAGTATTGTCCAGTGAAGTAAAGGTATTGACATATACATTTTCCTCTCTTCACAGAAACATTTTTAAATACCGTGTGATTAAATTAACTTGAAATGGAGAAGTGTAGTAAGGCAAAGGCTCTCCTTAAGGAGAAAATATAGCTTTAGTAACTAGGAATCTGGCTTTTATTGGCTAGTAAAATTGAGAATGCAGCACTGAGGATGCTCAGGTTTTTCCACTAAGCATCTCTATGTATTTAAAGGCATCTGTTCTGTCAGTTTATGCACTGTTAACTAAGTGCAAACCTCTTTAACAGCTCCTCTACACTGCTGGAAAATCCTGAGGCAGGGCAAGGGCAAGTACCGCTGTCATGCATGATGACTGATGTAAATGGAGTGAGAAAGGCCCTTGAAGGGGAAGCCGTCAAAGCTGACCTAGTGGGAAGAGAGCGCAGGGACAGGTTTCCTCTTGAAGCATGCCAAGAGAGCCAGGCTTGGATGCATATGGGGCTCTTTCCAGTTTTGGGAAGGTGCAAAGTGATGCGCTGTGGAAGGAATGGCTCCAAAATCATTAATTAAAGACTGCCCTTCTGGTGCACCTTATGACCGAGTTACTGTTAAAAATAAGGTTTTGCCAGGGCTTGAGCTCACTTCATGTGGATTTCTGTTGTGGAGTAAATACTTAGGAGGACTGTGAGCAAGAAAAGGGTAGGAATACATGGTTTACAGTGATTAAAAATGGCAAGTATAAAAGTACTTTTTAAAAATTATGGGAGGATAGTAGATTTCCCTGTCCTGTCCTCTTACCCTGAACTCCAGTGAGTGAGTGTACCGTAATTTTGAAATAGGAAACGCTTCTGCCAGCTGTGAAGCAGAATGATGAGCTTTAATTAGATGAGAAACAATAAAACGCTATTGAACAAATAGGCTTTCAGCAAAGAGAAAGAAAGCTAAAGAGGGTAGGTGCTAGCCCACTTAATCCATCCTTGTTCAGATAACTGAACTAGATGATTTGTACGTGGAAAACTGCAGTAATCGTAACACAAATGGGCTCATTAGATGCGTCTTCTGGAATAACAGGGTAACTTGATTATATGTTTGGGAAAGATGGGAAATAAACAGGGTGTAGAGGAAAATCTGTTATCTCTGGTCGGCTCAATGCATCTTTCCTTTTGGCTCTGCAGGTTGAGGACATCTGTGACCTGTTTGGTGGAAGCGGCCATGTCGCGAGCAACTTGCCCACTCACCTTCCCAGTGAGCTTCCAACTCCTGAGTGTGGTGCTGGTGCTGCTTTTCCATGCAGAGGGCATACGTGCAGAAAGCCCCAGCGAACTGCCAGTGAACGACACCGAGGAATGCACTGGCTCATATATCTGCAAAAAGGGTGTGATTTTACCAATATGGGAACCCCAAGACCCCTCATTCGGTGACAAAATTGCTCGGGCAACAGTGTATTTTGTAGCAATGGTGTACATGTTCCTGGGAGTATCTATTATAGCTGACCGCTTCATGTCCTCCATTGAAGTCATTACCTCCCAAGAGCGGGAAATAACCATCAAGAAGCCCAATGGTGAAACCAGCAAAACCACAGTGAGGATCTGGAACGAGACTGTTTCCAACCTCACACTCATGGCCCTGGGCTCATCTGCCCCCGAGATCCTCCTGTCTGTTATTGAAGTGTGTGGCCATGGCTTCACGGCAGGGGACTTGGGGCCGAGCACAATTGTGGGGAGTGCTGCGTTTAACATGTTTGTCATCATTGCTATCTGTGTTTACGTTGTTCCAGATGGAGAGATAAGGAAGATCAAGCACTTGCGAGTGTTTTTTGTTACAGCAGCTTGGAGCATTTTTGCCTACACTTGGCTTTACATTATTTTATCTGTATCTTCTCCTGGGATTGTGGAGGTTTGGGAAGGCTTGCTCACCTTCTTCTTCTTCCCCATCTGTGTGGTGTTTGCCTGGATAGCTGACAGGAGGCTTTTGTTTTACAAGTATGTCTACAAGAAATACCGAGCTGGTAAGCAGAGAGGCATGATCATTGAGCATGAGGGTGACCGGCCCTCCTCCAAAGCTGATATTGAGATGGACGGAAAGGTTGCTAATTCTCATGTGGAGAATTTTTTGGATGGGACACTGGTGTTGGAGGTGGATGAGAAAGACCAGGATGATGAGGAAGCCAGAAGGGAAATGGCTCGAATCCTGAAGGAGCTGAAACAAAAGCACCCTGACAAGGAAATTGAGCAACTCATAGAGTTGGCCAACTACCAGGTCCTGAGCCAGCAGCAGAAGAGCAGGGCCTTTTACCGCATTCAGGCCACTCGACTCATGACAGGAGCTGGCAACATCTTGAAGAGACATGCTGCAGACCAGGCCCGCAAAGCTGTCAGCATGCACGAGGTCAACAGTGAGGTGGCAGAAAATGATCCCATCAGCAAGCTCTACTTTGAGCAGAGTACCTACCAGTGTCTGGAAAACTGTGGCACTGTCGCCCTGACCATCGTTCGACGGGGAGGCAACTTGACCAACACGGTGTATGTTGACTTCCGGACAGAGGACGGGACAGCCAATGCCGGCTCTGACTATGAGTTCACTGAAGGGACAGTGGTCTTCAAGCCTGGAGAGACCCAGAAGGAAATCCGTGTTGGCATAATTGATGATGACATATTTGAGGAGGATGAGAATTTCCTGGTCCATCTCAGCAATGTCCGAGTGAGCACTGAGGCCTCAGATGAGGGCATTCTGGAGGCCAGTCGTATCTCAACACTTGCTTGCCTGGGATCACCATCTACTGCCACTGTCACCATCTTTGATGATGACCATGCTGGCATCTTCACCTTTGAGGAACCAGTAACGCATGTCAGTGAAAGTGTGGGGACCATGGAAGTGAAAGTGTTGCGAACCTCTGGTGCACGAGGAAATGTTATTGTGCCCTACAAAACCATTGAAGGTTCAGCCAAAGGTGGAGGAGAGGACTTTGAAGACACCTGTGGGGAGCTGGAGTTCCAGAATGATGAGATAGTGTAAGTGAACGCTTTATTTGTTACTTACAGTCTCTGGTTCTCCTGAAATTAAATACACATGGCTTCCAGAGCTTCACTGGAGGTGTTCAGGTGCCAGCGCATTGCAGTAAGTCATGAATGGCCTCATGTGCTTTGGGGAGCCTGAAATGCTGTATTCCTGCCCTGCTAACAGACCAGAGTGTGATGCGTGCTCAGGGACACTCCACCGTTCCAGCAGCATGGAGGTGGGACCGATTTGTGTGCCTCTATCCATGTGCTCTGCAGATCTCTGTAGACTCAGCTCTACAGTGGAGCAGAGGAGAAAACAATACTGGCTTTTACTGCCCGGTCACAAGAACCTGTCTTGTGAAGGACCTAAACTGAGTGTATGAATTGTGGTAATTGTGGTAACTATTTCCCATTGCCTGTTGAGAGTCAGGTCATCCAGGCCTGGGCCACAGCCTGTTCCACTGATGCTCTGTTCAGGGCTTTGGTGAAGGTCACTTCACCTCCTCCTCTTCTAAAGGCTGCATTGTCCAGTGCATGTCCTGAAAAAGTAGTGTCATGCCGAGAAGCCTCATGGTTAGGATGCGACTGCAGCCACATTTGGCTGCTTGCAAAAAAAACAGGCTACTCCGGAGTGTTGCTAGGGGGGTGGTAGAAAAATTATTAGTGCTGTAGCCTTGTTTATTACATTATGTGGAGAATATAAATTAGTCCAGTAAATCATGGTAGAAAACATCTATCCTTGGGTGCATCATGAAGACATTTCCTTGCCCACTCGGGGCTCTGGGAGGACAAAGATTGGGAGTTGCATTGTTCCAGCCTCTGGCTGTTCTTACAAGTGAAGTCTTGTGTCTGTAGATCAGTCCATAACAACAATAGACTGTAGAACAAAACCACTGCATAGAACTTGGAGTAGACACTGATAAAGGGCACGACTGTGTCAACAGAGAGTTAAATGTTGGCTTAGGTGTTGCATATCCTACAACTGGTCTCTTATGAGCTGAGGCAGACCCATGATGAGTACCAAGAGTGGGCCTTATGCTTGGTTGTCACTTGTGCACAAGGAGAAGGAAGCAAATGGGGGAAACATAAAACTTCATGAGGTAGGGGGAAGAAAAAAGTGATTTGTAGTTCTCAGGCAGGGTATTAGGCCAGTTGGGTGGTTGACTTCCCAGGAAAAACTTAACAACTCTTGCAATCTGGAGGCCAAAACATGCATGTTGCTCACACCGGGGTTGAGAGCACACAATATGCCATTGTTCCTGGCACCTGAAAGATAACTGTAGTAGAGAGGAATGCAGTTACTTGATTTTCGGTTGTTTTTTTTTCATTTTGGGAGAAGCAGGGAGTTGTCTGCAGAGATGCCATGAACTAGGCTATATAAGGATATCTCCTGAAGGCTCTGACGGCACTGACTGTCAGTCAGGAAGACTGACATTTGGTCTCAGTTCCCCTGGAATTTCACATGTTTACATGGCAGGCCAAACACATGGCCACAGGCTCTGCAACTGCACTCAGAGGGGCTTGGCCTTCCGCTTTATCTTGGATCCATCACTCTGGCCAGGATCTCTGTGCTGTTGTGCACCAGTGGCAGGTAGCATCACCCGTGTCTGCATTGCCTGTTGGTGCTCAGTCTCTGCTGTGGGTTTTGCAGTGGGGACTGCCTGCCTACTGCCTCTGCTGGTGGTCTTCCTCCAGTGCTGAGTTTTGCCAGCAGCTGGGTAACCAAGGGGTGCGCTGGAAACGAGCTGAGCACATCCTGTCGGAGCTGCTGCCTGGTCTCCTTCAGCATGCTGGTGTGCCCTCCCCATAGCAGCAAGCCTCCTCTTTCTTCTTTCCTCTTCTTACTGGCTGTCAGCATGTGCACAGCAAGCAAGAAATGGGGAAAAAGAGCTTTCGTGGAAATCCAAGTGTGTTTTTTCTGTTCAGATGCTAGGGCATTGCCATCATATCTCTGTTGCTTTTAAACTCTTTCTCCCTGGAATCACAGGGATGGACTGCACATGGGAAGCATCACTTGAGGAGTTTGCAGCCTGGTACAGATCAGGGCTTGGGAAAGGAGGTGGCAACTACAAGGCCACATGTTGACCAAGAGGCTTGCTCCATTCAGGTGGGAGAGGACATAGACTTACTTACCTTATTTTTCTGGGAGAAGGATGAAACTGATTGTACAAATTGCAATCTATTCACCTGCCTGAAAGCCAGTAGGTGTTCATCTCAAACTTTACTGCTATGGTCCAGGTGTTGGATGGTGCAATCCGACTTGCAGAAGATTTCCTCCAGGTCTGTGTTTGCTTGGGCACAAGTTTAGGACAGTCCTGCAGCACAAAGGCGATGTGATCCTGAAGTCGAGGTGCTGCTTATAGGCATCCTCCCCCAGAAGAATTTGTCCTAATGGGAATAAAGATGTGCTAGCACAATATGTGGATTGTAGAGCTGAAGCCTGTTTGCTATGTCATTGCTTGTTAGTGCCGTGCTTCAGCTAAATCATAGCTATGTAGGATGGTGCAATTCCCCAGCATAGTTGATTCCATAAAGTTCTAAAACTTCAGTTTCTCCCATGCTCTAGTGGACAAGAGATGACTTTGCTGCCCTTTCTAAAAGTCTTCAATACCTCTTCAGCTCTGCCATTCTGGGCTGTATCAATCAGTTTGATAAAGTCGAGCACAGTGTGTTTTTCTGGAGCACGAACAACAAAGGTAGGGCACTGCAGGGGGACACGAAGGTGACGGAAAACCGTGTACAAGCCACTATTATTAGAGGGCTGGTAAGTCCCAGTAAAATTAGAAAGCGCTGGGAGGGCCCTGATTTTCTGGAGACCTTCCTACAGTTCCCAAAAGGCCCAATTATGTAACGTTGTTTGTTTGCAGCATCCAGAGAGACTTTCCCATTTTGCAATCTGTTGATGTCCCCTTTCCCAGAGCACACAGAATAGCTGTGTAACTGCTGAAGCCATGCCGCTCCTGTGCATTTAAACAAATATCTCATTCCGATGCTACCAAAAGAGATGTATAACGGAGAAGATGTCGGTCTCCTACGAAACATTTTATCCCAGCACTGCCTGGTAGCTTCTTGGAGTGATGCTTTCCTGCTCCTTGATCCTGAAGCACAGCTTGTGTGTTCAATGAATGAATGTTGGCAAGTGAAAGAAACAGCACTGAAATGTGTTTTGCAAAAGGGTTAGCTTAGTTTGCATGGCACATTGGTACAAAAGGTATGGGAAAGCTAAAGCTATCTGACCTGGGTCTCAGCAAGGTCAGTCTCAGTGATACTGCTTGGGTCCCTGGGACTCTGAGACATCGGTGTAGGACAGGGTGCTATGATTTAAAGTGTAAGAGAGAGCCTTTGCTCTGGGGCAATCCTCAACAAGGTGACTCCAGCCTTGTCTTTCATCTCCATTAATGATTAAAGCTTTCTTGATGAGAACATGGAGAAGATGTGTAGTTGCAGGCTCTTCCTTTGCCCCCACCACCACAGCTATTGTGATCATAGAAGAGGTCACTGGTTCATCTAGCCAGTGTATTTTTATCTCCTGACTGAATGCCAAGTAATTCAAAAGTCCAGCCTCCTATCCTAAAGGAGGAAGCAATCCTTCCCCCAGCTGATGGGATCTCTACTCCTTGCTGTCTCAAAACATCAGGAGGAGCACCGCTTCCAGATGTGACTGCAAAGCTATATGAAGACTAAGTGTTCTTTCATGTTCAAAAAATAGATTTTCTACAGATAACATTGCAGCTAGAGATCTATTACAATCTGCATGCCAGATGTCTGCACCTACATCACTCATAAGAAAAGATTTTACTGCGTTAATATGCCAGTGAGGAAGATGGTACACATAGTTATATGGATAACCATTTAAACTGGTATTTAACCTATACAGTTACACCTGTAAATATATGAAGAATCCTATGTCAATGGATCTTGCTACTCATAATGTATAGTTTAGCTGTTTTTGTAAAAAGCGTCTGTTGTAGGTTTGCCCAATTGAATTTGACCTATCCAAGCCAGCTTTGACATTTCTCTGAAAGCATAAATTTAGGAGCCAAATGCTAACAGCGACACAAACATCAGCTAAATCCTCTGGGTTTTTTTTAGTGAAAGTGTCCCCAGAGACCAAATAGCTTCTCTCCCAAGAACCCTTTAAAAATGTCAATGTCAATAAATATAGATTGTTTTGTGGGGGGAAGCAAGTGGTACTGCTTTTTTAAGTTCCCCTTTTCTTTTCCAAAAGGAGTTGGGTAAGATATTTCTAAAGAAACAGCAAAAATAAAATCCTGACTCAGCCCTGGGACCTCTCTAGCTCAGTTTTGCATCCATGGCCTGCAGCTTCAGAGAAAAAAACCTAAATCTTCATCATGGTCAGCATGTTCTTCTGATGTGGCAGAGAGACTGCTGTAAAGCAGGCTGAAGTTGAAGCAAACATTCCCCATGTCATGGCTGAACACATTCTCTCTCTCTTTCTCCATCTCCCTTTGCTTGTGGACTCAGTGTGCATCCCCTCCCTCACAAGCTCTGGCTTGTGCAGGGTTAATGTCTTGAGGCACAGTGTGAGATATCAAAACAGACCAAACAAAGATTAAATTCTTGTTTTGGCCTGCTTCCAGCACCCATCTTGGGATTTAGAGCATGTTTTCCGTCACCACTGGCAGTCTCACCAGGCGCCGTGGGACTTCAGGCAATTCAAATACGACCACCAGGATCCAGGTCTTGGGTCCTGGGTCCCTTTTATGGGAACGTGGCCGTGGCGGGAAGGATCTGAACATGGGTGCTACACCAGGCTGGGGCATGGCATGGAGGCTTGTTTCCGTTTCCAGGGGAGTTTCGGGGAGGAGTTCTTCTTTTTCAAGGTCTGAAATGTATCATGGCTTCAGGTCTTGAAAGGCTGGGTTGTTCACTCTTCAGAGGGGAGAATAGAGCTGTAACAGGGTGAGCTGTCTTTTCTTTTTCTCCACACACACAATGTTTAGTCTTTCCTGAACACTCCTAAAATGCTGGCTTTGGTATCTCCCAGCTACGTGT